ATACAGGGTATGGCGAATGTGCCAACTCTTGGTAACCTTGTCTCGAAGCCCGCTTCGGGGCACAATCGTTGAAACCATCATCATCATCATCGTAATAATCATCATCATCAGTGTTATCATCATCAAAAACAACAATAACAACAACAGCAACAATAACAGTGGCAGCTAGCGATGTACCTACAGACATACATAATATCCTTCATGCCATAACGTCCTGTGGCTTTTGTGGTTGATGTCGCTACAAGCCTGTGTCCTACCACACAAATACATAACACATCTATACATAAGTATATGTGTGTGTGTCTGTGTGTCTGTGTGTGTATGCTGCAGTCAAGAGTAAAGAAGCAGCAACAAATCAAGCGTTGCCCGCTTGCCTTGCGTGTATTTGTGCGCAGTCGGTAAGGACATTGAGCGCTTAATTAAATTAAGAAAACTTGATGGACAGCTACTAGACAACGAGACGCAAGCGACTGGCAACTGGCAGCAGGCCTGACAGCCCCGGCTCCTGTCGCTGTACCGACATCTGCTCCTGCCACTGCCCTTGCCCCTGCCACTGCCACTGCTCCTGCCCACACTACAGCCAACCAATCATTCAGGTGTTGCTAAAGTGCCGCGCTAGCCTTGCCAATGTATTTGTGTATGTGTGCGTGTCTGGCTGCGTGTGTGTGTGTCGTTCTATGGTGTGTATGCTGTCACTCAAGTGTCGTTCGGCATTCCATTACAATTTCCCAAAAAAAAACCTGACTGAGACCATTGCCAAACGGATTTAAATTTTCGAAATTTGAAACATAAAGTGTTTGGCAAAAAAATTAATTTAAAGGAACCTTCTATTTATAGTAAATCCATAGAAAATCATCTGGAGCTCTATTACATTTGTTAAAGCCTTAACAACATCTGCAACATATAATAATATATATTATGATACACAAATGTACATATATGCATATATATATATATACAGAATCGGTCTGAAAGTATTATTTTAAAAATATATTAATATATAAAATAATATAATAAAACATATACAAACACATACGTATTTGTATAAACAAACAGAATTAAATTAATTTAAAAAAAATAAATACTGGTTTTACAACTTAAATCTCTTTCAATGTCTTAAAACTAAATATATTCTTTTCGAAAAAAATTCAATATAAATCGTTGAAGTTGATAAGAGAGCTAAAGCAGCAAGGATACGCATTCAAATTCAATTCAAGCCTTTTAGATTGAATGAAATATGCATAAATCGAATAATGTGGACGTTGAAAGGGCCTCAAAGGCATTTCCTGTTTATCTAAATTGAGTTAAATTTGATTGCAGAAGGCAGCCTAAGGGTTTTTAAATTTACAACTCGTCTGCTTTATTCGCACAGGCAGTACACAAACACAGACAAACACGCACGCACACATATTTAAAGAGAGGACGCATACAACTGCAGACATATGCTCATCGGAAACATTAACGATAATGACAAAAAAAAAGAAGACAACAACAACAACGAAACGGCACTTGTTCACAAGGACATCTGAGAAATCCATAAATTTAAAGCATGCTTTTGTGCGCCAGAGCGCAAAGAAGAGCGAAAACAACAAAATCAAGAAAACTAGAAATGGAAACAGAAACCGTAACAGAAACCGAGACAGAAACAGACACAGACAGAAGATACACAGACAGAGAGATACAGAAACACAGGCAACTTTAAATCAGCTGTAGCCTGTTGAGCGAGAGCGCGGCAAATTTAAAGATTCCCCCGCGCATTAAATGCAACAAACACGATTTGCGCATTTGCACTTGAATTCACAGTTAACTGCATTGCTCTACATTAACGACATGATAATCGCACCCAATTCTTTCATAATTCCTCAAGCGGTTGCCCAAGCGCTGTCAGCGGCGTTACAACTTGTGTGTGTATTTCACTGATTTTCAAATTGTTTATGTTCTTTTTTTTTTTTTTTGTGTGTATTTTTCTATTTTTTTTTTTTTTTTCTTAATTTTTATTTGTTGTCAGTTCGTTAAACCTGTCGTCGCAAGTCGCCGATGTCGACTCCACTGTGAACCGCACGCGTTGCGTTCGAATCAGACACTGAAACGGAGACTGAAACTGAAACCGAAACTGAGACCCAAACTGAGCGGGCGACCAACTGATTCGTTTCGTGTTCAGCCGCTAGCAGAACGCGCTCTCTGCCGGCAAATACAGTCAGATTTGCACGTTTGTTGTTGTGTGCGCGCCAAAAACGTGCAAAACTATCGCGACCCGAGCGGTGAGAGAGCGACAGCGACAGCGCAGCGGCGTCGCTCACTGGGGGGCTGTTTACGATTTGCCGCTCCTGATAGCACTTTGATTACGCATGCATGTCATACGGTCGCCTTAGCCTTGCCTCACTCACTGCGCTGGCAGAGCAACACCTGCCCGAATAGTAGCCGTCGGGCATGTTGAATTGTCACCTGCCACCTGTGGCCGAGCCAATGTAAATAGCAACATTTCCGTGAGAACTCAAACTTCCGCTCACGTACTCTAGCTCTGCAAAGCAAAGAGTAAACTTAAAAAATCTATTTCCGCTAAATTTAAATTAATAAACTTTACATGTAGCTGAGACATATTTATTATGCAAGTTTCAGCTCGGATTTTCGAATTTTGTTGAATATTTAAATTTGTTTATACATAAATTTGTTTGTACATAAATTTATAAATTGCAGCTATAAATTCTATGTTTAACATAAATGTGTTTATTTTTAACAAATTAAATATATTTTTTATTTAATTGTCGCTTTGCTGCTTTAGTTGATAAGCGCCTTGCAATGAAGTCACAAACTGCTGTTTTTAAATTTTCTACCTGTTATCAGCACAATGAATGACATACATACACATATACAAACACATATGTACACAACACAACGCCAATAGCTTATCGATAATAAACACAAACAAATTCAAATGTCTCGACAAAACACACTAATTCGATTATAATGCGCTAAAATCACAGAACACTTTAGTCAATATACGTATGTATGTATATGTTCGTATATCGATATATAAGAAATTCCATATGTGTATAATATGCAAGTGTATTTGTTGCCTATCAAATTAAAGGTTCTATAGAAGTATTCCTCAAGCACAACTCACTCTTTGCACCGCCGCAACCGCACTCAACGCTGTTCAAGTTCGAACTAAGCAGCATCGTCAAGTCGAGCGGCTATTTAAACGATTTTCGAAATCGACTGAAAACAACAAACAAATAGAACAGACTAGAGAATATGAAAATGAATAAAAATAAAATAAAAATTATTTTGGGCTAAACACTGGCAAAGAACAACAAGCAGCACTTCATTAATCGCCGCGGCTCCCATCGACGATTTAGGGAGCATGGGGGTTATCGAACATTTCGGTAGATCAAAATAATATTGCATCACGGAAATACATACATAGTTCAGAATTTCACTGTAGCTATTTTGAATATCATCATTGATGTGTGTACATGATATATACATATTTCTTATTGCTGCATTCAACAGATGTAATGTGTGGGGTCAAGAGGTCAAATTAATTTCCAGCTGTATATGAATATCAGCATAGTTCACTTCTGCTAGCAGTTCCATTTGGTTCAATAGCTTTGTTAAGTAACTGCGTATTTCTTATCTATTTCGCACTTGCAAACTCACATTTACTTGACCTTTGCATAACTTTTCGACTTTTTCGACTGTCACGAGATATTTGAGGACTTTTAATGGACACTTTGCATGTTGCTCTGAAGTTTTCACACGGGTCCAGGCACAATGAATTATTTCATTGCTATCCACTCGCTATTTATCTCCACTCAGTTGATGATTTAATAACAAATTTGAATAATTGTATTCCATTGGCTGGGTTGAAAACCTACTCTTATAATTAGCTGTTGAAGAACAAGTTGTGTAGAATTCCAAATTTGTCGCAATAAAAGTTTTTATTGTTCCACTAGGTTGATTATAAACTCAATTAAACATCTACTTCGCAGTCAAAAACCTATGAAAATTGTCACAATTAAAAAACTTTACTAATTAAGCACTATTTCTTTCTTTTCTTCCTTCATCTCAATGATCTGAAGAGTTGTCGGAGATGCCCGCTGGAACCTGTTGAATCGGAAAGTGTATTTATTATTATTGTCTATCATTGTTGCTAATAATTTGGCCAGCTCAATTAATATGCATTATGCATATATTAGCATTGCGAATTATTATTCAAACACATTTTATGTAATAATTCTTTATGCGCGTCAAACTATTTCCTTTGGTTTATGGAGCCAATTGTTTATGCCAAAATTGTGGGTCATTAATAAACAGTCGAGACGCAAATATTAATGAAACTTACCTGAAATGGTCAAATACTATAATATAGATTATTCCTATTGATTCTCCAGATTTTCGTTTTATTTAAACAATTCAACTCTTGGGATACACTATTCCAGTCACGCTGCCCATTCCGATGCAGGAATTTTATCTATGTTTATATATATCTAGTATCTATATATGTGTGATTATTTGTGTTTGATCTAAACAAGCGTAAACACTTTATTATATTTTTTAGCTTGAATTCCTATTTGCTATGGTCAGGCCTTTGGCTAGCTGGAATTTCATAGCACATGGTAAACATTCGTGAAAATGAGCTTAAACAATAACTCGATATGGCTGAAATATGCGAATTGAACGACCACTTGTACAGCCAACTTACCACATGTTATTTGTTGTTCATAAATTACCTTTTGTTGAAAAAAAAAAGTAATAATTAAATATTCAACAGAAAAAGAAAACCAAGGCGCAGAAACAAAAGCCGAACGTGGATGAAATGAAAACAAAACACAAAACTGACAGGTGGAAGCTCCCCAGAGAGAAAGAGAGTGAGAGAGCGAGAGGGAGAGACACGCACACATATGCATTAAATAGGCAACGAGAGCTGGATACCAAGAGAGTGAGAGGTGAGAGAGCGAAATAATATGAGTTTGGATATGGAAGCCTGTTTCGTAATCACGCTTCAGTCATATTCAGCGCGAGAGTGAGATCGGTGTGGTGACGGAGCGTAACGCGTTCTCTCAGTGAACGCTTCTGACAGTTGATGCTGGCTCGTTGGGATAGCAAGATAAAAGCGAATCTGTGAAGAGCACTTCCAAACAGAAAAGAAAATAACAAGAAAATAAAATTGGAAACTAAACAAATGTTACAATGGACACGCAACAACAACAGCAACAGAGCCAAACGAGCAACAACAACATCAACTGGGACAGTGACAATTGCCAGAAAATTAAAAGATTCGTGATCATCGGACTGCTGATCACCATTGGCATACTGAGCTGGCATTTCTATGGTGCGTAATATATACACACATTTATTACGACCCATAAACATTTCCGTATATTTACAGAGTATTTCCACAGCAAACCACTGCCCACGGCACCAGATGATGTGCTGGTCTTGTCGCAGACGCTATTTAAAGAAGAAGCTGCGGAAAATCCATATCTCTACAAAGTGAATCTGCAGGGCAAAACGAAGTCCGGCGCACATGACGATCGAGCGCCAGGACCGTGAGTATGGGAGCAGTAACAGCTCATGAATCTGTTAAGCTGGTCTATGTTAGGCTATTACATTATGTTAATCCATTTCAGACTGTTTGAGCTGCACAACGATCTGCTGGCCAGAGATAGCAATTCGACGACGGCTCTGCTGCAGCGGCTCTTCAACAACTATGAGCTGGACGTCGCCGTGCCGGATGTAATCACGGCGGAGCATGAGCAAGAGCAGCTGGACTTTCTGCGTGCCGTAATGAACACACGCGTCATGAAACTCTCAATGCGTTTCTTAGCCAAAAAAGGTAAGCTACCAAAAATTACTCACCCAATTAATGTAAATGCATTCCGAATTCATTGCAAAGCAAGCTGTTATTCATAGGAGTAATCAGATTACTACGTCAATCAGCGTGGCTTTTGTTACCAGCTTAAAGTAGGGCTGGGCATATATGTTTATATTCTCAGTTAGCAACGAGCAAGTACAGTGCTTTAAGTACTTCTGAGCATCCACAGTTTTCTAAACATTTGATATGTAGAGAGATAAGATAGTAGAGCTACAATTAAATTTGTTTATTTCTTGAATATGTATATATAATGTTTATATATATAAATGTATATTTTTATATTATTTATTTATTTTACTGTGCTATATATAAATAGATTTACATGCAAGACTCACGCGATTTCGCCCTGCCCAATTGTTTACTCAAAGCTTAGTTAGTTAGTTTAACTATCTGCCGCCGTAGCAAAAAATTAAATTTCCCTTGAATGTCGTGAATTCCATCCATTCGACACAAACTCAAATATGCACACTATGACAAATTAGAACAAACAAACATGTTTTTTTAATATTATATAAATAATATACATACATTCAATTTCTGTTCTATCGAATCAATTTCGAGAAACTCAAACTAATATAATTTTATTCTTACAATTATTATATCGTTACGATAAATTATTATATAAATATATTTATTAAAATACTAAGAATAATAATGATATTAATAGCAATAATAATAATAGTAATATAATTCAAAAATCGTTCAAATTTTTCCACACTTAAATAATATTACTATTATTAATTATTTATTTTCTGTACATAATATAACCACATTTTATCAATAACATATTTTTATAAACATGTTTAATACATACATACATACATACATATATCTTAATCACAATTTTCGTGTATATTTAAAGGCCTCGTCGGCAGTGACTACGAAGAACAGCTTAAGCTCCTCCATGAGCTCTGGTTCACCCCGTATTCCCGGGGTAAAGGCATTTTGGGCAGCTCCAGCTTCGAGCACGTCTTCATGGCGGAGCTTCGGGATCAGAATGTGCTAGGCATGCACAATTGGCTGTACTTTGCCGAGCAGGAGCAGCAGGGTCACGTGGACTACAAGGGCTGGTTGGATCGCGAGGAGACGGGACGAGTGCGTTCAACAATTCTATTCTATTTGATATTAGTTCCATTCATTTATAAAATTCGTTTTGCTTATAGCCCAATCAATTCGCATTGGCCGTGCGCATGAGCTTCTTTGGCATCAATAAGTCGTACATAAGCTTCTTGGTCGGCACTTCGCCAGAGCTGGAGCTGAGTCTATATACAGTGTGCTTCCTAGCAACGCCCAAGAATGAGCCTTGCGAAATCCAGCTGGACAAGGCCAAGCTCTCAATCGTATCACATGTCTGGGATTGGAAGGGCAAGAAACTGATAGCGTCTGCCTATGTGCAATTTGACTAAAGGCCACAATATGAATCTCAAGCAACAGGAACTATATATTATATTCATTTATATATATATCAAAGTTTAGCAGAATTTTAGAATCGTTAGCTGAATGTAATTATGTTAAATAGGCTTTTAGATATTCCGACAGCTAAATTTCTATTTGAAAAAAGTTCTTTCCTTATAATGGAAGAACTCATTTTGATTAGGAAAAGTAATTTCAAAATCTGTGTACAGAAAATAAATTATTATCAAATTTTCAACATTTCCTTAGTAACGTTTCCCATTCAGCATTCAGAAAAAGTACTTCAGACCGGATATAAATTTGGCAGTTAAAATTATTTTTGTAAGACAAATCATGCCCATAGTTCAAGTAAAATCCTTTGAGTTTTGAACTTCAGTGTGTGAGGCCAAAGTATTTTTAGAGTATTTCAACATGGGTTCTTTTTTTAATGGATGATTCTGTTTATCTGTTTAGAGTATTAAATTTTCAACAACATTTCTTAAGCAAAATTTTCTATTCAGTATTCCGCCCAAGTATTTGAAACAGAATACTAAACTATTTCCCATGTTCAAGTAGTAGTTCAAGTGAAATCCTGTCAGTTTGTGAACTTTAAGTACTTCTTGGGCTGTTATGAGCTCGGAATTAGCGAGTTGCTGATGCCTTAAGTGCGTGCCAACGCCAATTTCCTGGGCCTGTCACTCAGTCGCACAGGCTGGCATTTGAGTTCTTTTGACAGGTTTGCATGATATTAGCGCCCTCGCAATTCTATCATTCAGTTGTTTATTATTAATTTCAACATTTTCTTGACTTGCATGGAGAACGAATGACCTCCAATACAAAATTGACACTTGACATTGAGGGCAGCTATAGGACCTATCACAATCAAACAAAAGCCATTAGCAATTTAGTTCATAATTATTTGTTAAGAATTATTGAGAACCCGCAAATATAGCGATATATTAATTTGAGCCTAAATCATTTGTATTGTATATTATAAATTTGATATGTCTTTTCGTATGTCCAATTTCTGTTTGTCAAAATGTTTTGATACGTATTTAACTAAACCGAATCTCAGGATTGTTGCTTAAAATTAAATAAAACTCACTGTCGTCAAGTTGATGGAATTAAATTTATATTGCATTTAGAAATTGTTGTAATTACAAAATGTTAATATCAAATATGGATTATTTGTTAAAGCCCATCCGAAACATATGAGTGGAATAGTATTGGAAGTCTCCCTAGCGGAGTGAACTGGAAAACTTGTGCTTACAACTACTGCGATGCACGATAGTCACGATCATGGTCACGCTCAATGATCACCGTCTCGTTGGCGATGTCCAGTGGATGGCGCTCCAGCTGCTCCTCCAGCTCAATAGTTATGGTCTCGTTGACGTCCTGGACGCGCTGCACCATAGCCGGTGCACTCGCTCGTCGCACCGTGACAATGGTGGTGTGAGCCGGCGAGAGGCTGGCATCGGAGTCGACGAGCGGCAGGATATATGTTTCACTCAGGTCGGCACAGGAGTCGCCGTCGTCGTCGAGGTTGGAGGCGTCGCTGGAGCGCATCAGACTGGGACTGCTAATGCCGAACTCCAACAGCAGCGGATCGATTGGCGTGAGGTCGTTCGCCTCGGGACTCCAGCTACTTCTTGCCGGCGGCTGGCGCGGCAGACTGTTGTGGCAGAGCGGATTTGCTGCTGCTGCCGCTGCCGAGGACTCCAGCTGCAGCTGCTGGCCCCACAGCTCCGCTGCCCGGGCGCGATTGTTGTCGGCTCGCAGCTGGGGCGACAGCAGCGGCTGCTGTTGCTGCTGCTGCTGGAGGGGATGCGACTGTCGGCGTCGCCGTCGACGGTGGCGATCGGGCGTAGTCCGCCGCAGCGCCGGCTCCTGCCGCTGACTGATACTGCGGCTGGTTGGCTGCGGCTGTGTCTGGCGAGGCATCATACTGATAGCCAGACTGGCCATAGTCAGCGGCGCTGTAGTCGTAGCCAGCGTTGCCATCGTACCCATACTGCTGCGCGTCGTATGGCTGCTGGGAGTAGCCGCTGGTATCGTACCCGCTGGCATCGTACTGCTGCTGATCGTAGGCGCTGTAGTCTGTGTTGTAGGCGGCCAGGTTGGCGCTGCCGGCATTGCTGACGCTCGTATCCCCAAGCTGAGACTGTGGCTGTTGTTGCTGTTGCTGTTGCTGTTGCTGCTGCTGTGATTGCTGTTGCTCCGGCTCGCCATTGCTGTAGCGTCGATTGAGCTGTGCTTGCTGCTCCAGTTGCTCGCGTTCTCTTTCCCGCTTTTCGCGCTGCTCTCGCAATTGTTGCAACTCCCGATCTCGCTCCTCCCGTTCGCGTTCTCGCTGCCGTTCGCGCTGTTGCTCCAACTCCTGCTGTTGCTGTTGTTGCTGCTGTTGCTGCTTTTCGCCCATGCCAAGGTTGTCCTTGAGATTTTCGTCATCGTTATCGTTGAGTCCATAACTGCGGCTGCTCTCGGGCAGGAGGCTGCCACTGGCGCTGCCGTTGCTGATGCTGCTCTTGCGCGCTGCTGCAGATGGGCCAGCAGCTGTGTTGCTGTTGCCGTTGGCATTGCCGTTGCTGTTGCTGTTGCCGTTGCCGCTGATGTTGCTGGCAGCGCTGCTGTTGCCGGCAACTGTTGCCGCTCCAGCGGCATCGTAGCTGTAGGAGTTGCTCGGCTTGCTGTAGTCGTCGTCAGCGTTGTTGTGCAGTTGTGAGGTGCTTTGTATGGGTTCAATTGTAGTGCCATATGTGGACGGCTGGTAGTCGTATGCGGCTATAGTTACAGAAATTTAGATTAGTGTTGCTGGCCAATTGAATGCAAGGATCTAGTGTAGTATGATCTATGTATGTGTGTGTGTGTGTGTAGATGATTAAGAAATTGTTGCTGCATGCCACATCCTCTCTGGACCAGTCCATGGCGAAGTAAATTAGTCAGTGTATGAACGAGGCTTGTGTGTTGTTTTCTCTTATTTCTTTTAAGATTTACCTTTGCCTGCGCCTAAGCTAGTATAATCATGCGGTGTGGTATCTAATTTACTCATATGCTCTTCATTGCTCAACATGCGATTAGACAAATATTCTAGATTCGATTGTAAAGCAGATATTTCCTCTCTAAGGACAGCAGAGAGAGACAGACAAAGATAAAGAGAAAGAGACAGAGAGAGAGAGAGAGAGAGAGAGAGTGTAGGGGAGATAAAGAAAGGGGAAGAGAAAGAGAAAGAGAACATTTGTTAGTCAAATACAAATTCTTTATTGCCAATTACCTGGGAGGTGTCAATTTGGTGCATTTTTGATAAACAACTGCGTTCATCATTGGGTGTTGACTCTTCGGAGCTAAGCTCGTTAGCACTATTGCCATTGTGAACTAATTGCGACTTGTATTTACACCAGATTTGCCGTAGACGTGCCATTAACTGTTCGTTTGTAGCACGTAGCTGTTGCTTGTCTTGACTGAGAAGATTGAGACGAAATATTTGCAAATTGATATTAAAATGTGCGAAAAACAAATCTGATGCAAAAATAAAGTACAATAAAATAAAATAGAAATAGGAATAGAAGTAGAAATATAAATAGAAATAAATTAAATAATATAATAAATAACAGTTTTGTTAAATAACATAATTCTATTTTACAAATAATTGTTTATGCATCGAGTCTTTCAAATATTTTTAAATTTATATTATTCAAATACTGATATATCTGAAAGGATTATTATTATTTTTATTTATAACTATTATTATTATTACTATTTGATACTGTTCGATTTGATATTAGACAAAAATATGAGCTATGATGGAGCAAATTGGAAAGTAAGAAAGCATAAAATATTGTATCCAAAGAGTAATTTGCTATTATAAAGATAATATACTAGTTCATTTCATAATACATTGCCCAATGATTTTATAAAGTTTTCAAATCTTAGGCTATCCCATTCTAACAGAAAAATAGTATTATTCTTTCCTTCATTTCCTTAAAGATACATTTCCTAAAATGTATTAAATATAATTATTTACATTGAATTTTAATTGTAATTTTTGAATTGCAAGGATTTTTTGCGGTGCTAGCAAATTATTGACGATATTAATTAAGATTACCTAAAAGATAATTTTGACGAAAATTTCATTTCAAAATGTGACAGTCAGTCTATTGCAATTTCAGATTCAAATTCAGCATGTCAAAAACTTTTAACGAATATTTAAAATATGTTTCCTGATTAGCAAGACAGCAAGGTCTAAGGAAACGGACAATTTTTATATAAATTATTATTTTATATAAATTATTATCCATCTAGATATTTTAAAGGATTCATAAAGTAAGTCAGGAAAATAAATAAAATATTACGAATCCTCAAAGCAAATACATAAACCTTAGCTATAAGAAAAAACAAATTTTTTTTCTAGAAATAATCAATTTCTTGTATAAGAAAAAATTTTTAAATCAAAGAAAACCTAATCCATTACAAATAAAAAATTGTTTAAATCAAAGAAAACCCATATAATGCATTATGTAATTAGCTGCTAACTGTAATAACAGATTGGATCTTTAAAAAATGTTATAAATGGGTAACATTTTATATAAGAGACAAATATTGATAGTTTGTTTTAGATATTCAAAAAATTTTAAAATAGTTGTAAAAGTAATGGAAAATGTTTCATAACGAATATAGAATACACTAAAAATGGTTTGGCTATACTTCTATGTTTCTATGTTGACAGCTAATTGGTGATGTGTTTTCGGAATGAAATGGTATTGGTGTGGTTTTTTTGTTGGGTATATTAACATTATCAAAGTTTGGTGGCCTGCTCCTGGTCGTCGTCCTCGACGTCATCATCGATGACATCCTCGAATTGGGCTAGTTGTTCATCGATTTTGGCCAACTCTGGCGAGGATTCCTTGACGAAAGTCTCGTTTAGGGCTTGCGCCACTTCGTCCAGCTCTTGGACAAATGTTTCATTGAGTGCATTGACTTTTGGCTGTGACTGTTTCGACTGCTTCGTCTGCTTGGGCACCAGGCGCACGTTGACATCAACTTTGACGGGTGGGCGTGGCTTCTTGTGGCAGCCATCGCGCTGCAACAGTTGCTCAAAATAAAGCTTTGGCTTGATGCTGGCATTGATCGCATTGCTGTTGCGGCCTTTGCATGTTGCTGTTGCTGCTGCTGGTGTTGCAGTTGCCGTTGCAGTTGCTGTTGTCTCAGTGTCCACCGTCAAATGCGAGCTTTGACATGGGGCCTGACAGCTACTGGCACTGCTGATGGTCTGATTCAAAACCAGATGCTGTTGCAGCCAAGGCAACAGCTCCGTTTTGCATGGATGACAGCAGCTGGCCGACTGCTGGACAGCTGCAGGTGTGCTTGTTGCTGATGTTGCTGGTGCTGTGCAATATTGTTGCTGTGGCTGATGTGGTTGGTGGTGTGTGTCTAGGGTGAATTCATGAGCGTGACAATGCATGCTCTTGCTGTGTGTGGTTTGTGTACGCGCTGTAGCTCCTCGATTGCGACTGTTGTTGTTGGCATTGCTGTTGCTGTTGCTACTGCTGTTGCTGCAACATGTAGCGCTAATATCGCTGCTGTTGCGCCTGCGCATTGTTGACTTCGTATAAACATGTTCATGCTCGTGCTTGTGTCGCATAAAACTGGGGCAAAAACACTTTGGCTTGGCGCCCATTGTTGTTGTTGTTGCAGCTGCCGCTGTTGCTGCTGTTGTTGTTGTTGTCTCTGTTTTACTGTTTCTGTGGATGTTGTGCATTCTGTTGTGCGCATTGTAGCTGGTGAATTTTGGCAACGGCGGCATCTTGGCCAGCTCGTTGGCCAAACGCTTATTGCTTTCGATTATATTCCTTAGTATCTCGTCACCATTGTCGGCATCGCCAGCAACATTGTCAACAGCAGCAACATGCGCGTCCATGGGCTTGGTTTCATCTACAATTTCCACATCAGGCGGCAAAGTGAACACGCTTTCGCCTGCGCTTGTTGTTGCTGCAGCTGTTGTTGTTGTTATTGGCATCGAAGGTGCGTTTATTGCAGTTGTTGTTGCTGTTGTTGCGGTGATTGCTGCTTCTGCAGTTGTTGTTGTTGTTGTTGGCATCGCATAATCTAAGTTTAACAAATGTCAGAGCGACGCAGGCAGGCAGCACAAAAGAGGTTTGAAGAAGTTAATCCAGTGTCAAGCTCTGGGTAGTTGTTGTTGTTGTTGTTGTGTGTTGTGTTGTGGTTAACGAATCTCAAAACAAAATTAATTGCACTAGGTGTGGCAAAATGAATATTTTTTTGACTATTTGTTATTTGTTTTTTTTTTTTTTTTTTTTTTTTTTTTTTTGCTTGGGGCTGGCCATGAATTTCATATTGCGCTGTGTTCAATTTTCATAGAGTAAAGATCGATTATACATAGGTGATAATGCTACGGTTGATGAGATCTGTAAAATTGTCATTGCTCATTGCTCTAAGACGAGCTAAACGATTCGGTTTACAACTACTAATGGGTATTTCATATAGGTGGACAAAAATATTGCAGTCAGTGCCTGAGAGTTGCCGTCAAAATAGTTAGCTTTAAAATGCATTTAATAATTACTTGTGCTTATAGGTCGTATCCTCTAATTTGCCGGTTAAGGTCTTACACTCGGCCGTCAATTTATCCATGAGTTGCTTCTGAGACGTTATCATTGCTTCGAGCTCATTTACCGTTTCCGCTACAAAGAGTAGACAGACAGACAGATTGTTGTGGGTTATTAGTGAATGAAGTGCGAGTATATTATTGAGTATCATTATGGGTAAGGCAAACTCATGGATAAACTATTGACGTTAAATACAGTAAATAGTATATATAAATATATATTTTTGGTAATTCGAATTAGAGACAAGTAGAGAATGAAAATGTTCACCGCACACAATATGAAAATCAATAGCTCAACCAGAGTTTAGAGAATGTGTTCAATTAGCAAGAGTCGGTGCTTGAGAAAGGTTTAATTAAATCAGAAATCATCTAATTGTGTGGAGAAATCGTACTTGACTAGCAATATGAAACGTGTGCACATACCATGCTTTTCCTGCATCTCTGAGATGCGTTTGTCCAAATCCTTTTTGGTTGGACGTATTTCGTTCTTTAGCTCCCCGTAAGCCAGCTGCAAAAAATCATTTTCAATTTGGAGCCATCGAAGTTGGATTAGACTGTCAATTACCTCCTTCTCCAAGTTGGCAATCTCATCGTTGAGGCGCAACACTTCGCGCTTCGAGTGCAACAGATCGGCGTCGCCACGATCCAGACGCTGGCGCAGCGAGTTGATCTCCGCCGTGAGACGAGCTGCCTCCGTCTTGGACTCCCGGGCTGCACGATCCAGCTGCAGGCGCAGCGAGGTAATCTCCTGCTCCAGCGACTGCTTCTCGGCATTGGCCTGGGCCATGTCGGCCAGGAAAGTTGTGCGATTGGCGCGCAGCTCCATCTTGAGCTCCTCGATCTGGGAATTGCGGCTGGCCACATCGCGCTTGAGATCGGACTCGTAGCGCTTCTGGCGCTCCAGCTCCAGCTGCAGCTTAGCCACCTGCTCCCACTGGCTGCTCAGATCGCCGCCCAGCTGATCCACCTGGCTGTTGTAGCGCCGCTCCGCACTGGCCCGCTCATCAGCCAAGCGGCGCGCCATCTCATGTTGGAGCTCCCGGACGCGCTCGTGCTGCCTGTCCAGCTCATCTCGCAGGTGGCGCACCTCCAGCTGAAAACGAGAAATGGAACTGAGGACATATAATAGGCTATATATCATAGCTCTTCACTCACCTCCGCCTGGGATCGCTCCATTTGCACCAAATCCGTGATGTAGCGCTTGGAGCTGGCATTGTTGTGCTGCTGCTGTGACTTGGCCTCGTCCAGCATGCGTTGCAGCTGGCGCACCGACTCCTCCAGGGCGGTCTTGTCCTGCTGCAGCAGCTCCAGCTGCTTGCGATGCGTCTCGCAGTTGACGCTGCCCAACGTGGCGACAGCGCTGAGCGGATCCGTGTGGGCCAGCTTGCGCTTGAGCTCCTCGTTCTCGGTCTTCACGCGCTTCAGATCGATGTTGGCCTGCATCAGCTCTGCCTCCAGCTCGCTGATGCGTGCCTCGTAGACAATGTTGGGCGCACTGGCGTAGCGTGGCGATTGCGGCGACTTCAAGTTGCTCTTGCGCGGCGTGGTTGGAGTCTTGCGGCCCGCATAGAGCAAGTGCTCGTCGCTGTCCGAGGAGGGGCTCGTGGTGGTCTGCGGCAGTTGAGCCGAGGGCTTGGAGGTGCCGCTGCCAAGCGCTGCCAGCTCAGTGCGCGCATTCTCCGTCAGGTGCTCGTTCTCGTTGATGACATCCTTCACCTTGCCCAGCAAATTGGTCAGCTCGCTGCGACAGTACTTGGACTCCTTTTCGAGCTGCTCGATGTAATCCTCTTGCTTCTCAATGAAGTTGAAGATCTCGACCGGGGCCTGAACGCTGTCCGTGGGCAGCGGCGGCGCAGTTATGGTGGTCGGATAGAGAGCTGGAGGCGTGGCTAAGTTCTCCTTGGACGCCGAGAGGTAGCCCGAGGTGTAGCTCTTCTTCGGCCGGTAGGTGCTGATGCGTGACTTCTGGCTGGGCGACAAGTACTTGGAAATGTCAGAGAAGACGGGTCGTTCGATGACCTGAACCAACATTGGAGTTATGAACAAATGGAATAAATAATTTAAATAAATCTAATTAGACCTACCGACAAATTGTCCGAGAAATTATCGCCTGAGTCCTCGTTGAAGTTGCGTAAATAGGCCGAGGAGCTGCCCAACCCTTTGGGCGTGGCCGTATAGGAGTTGTCAGCCAGCATTACCTTCAGGCGGCCCACGGCCTCGTTATACGCATAGTTTGTGTAGTCCATGGTCTTGCTCTTCTTGCTAATGCCCCTCGAGGACTTCATCGAGAAATTTCTAAAGTTGCGAACAGAAAAAAACACAACACTATTGTACTCTACATCTATGAGAAATCACATCCTAAACAGTTCTTTGAAAGCAGTTTGTAAAAAATGTATCCCTAGGAGAGCGCATGGTGCGCGAGCTGGACAAGAACTGAGGCTGGCCCCGTGCATTGGGGGTGACAAATGCACTGCTTGTGCCATGGACTGTCGCTTGGTTGCCGGGACAACAAGTTGGCCAAAATACAAATGTGTTTAGGCCTATTCTAACCCTCTGTACGCACACACAAGGATATTTTTGACCATGTGTGCACACGACACGGTTCAGTGGACCCGCCTTTTTTCCTTTTTTTCTCTATACTGGGTATTTCATGTTGAGTTCATGTTCATATTATGATTAGTCTAAATTTGAAAAATTTATAATGCATATATATTATATATAGTAAATATAGTATATGTAAATATGTATTTACTATTAAAACTAAAAAGCTAAAATAAAATGAGAACTTTAGAACTAATTCACTTATATGAAATATATATTTTATTTATATATTTTTTTATACCCCCCTTCGAATTCAAAACGAACTTTTATAGTTACATATTATATTTGCATATATATCGTATTTCCATAAATTTATAATGCATCTATATATATTTTATATCTGCAAGGGTATGTAATATTCAATACATTTAAGGTGCTGCCCCTTTTTTCGATGTAGAACGTAACGAGGGTTGCTAAATCTACTCTGTGACATGATAATAAATATGTAAATATTTCTTTTGTATTCCAATTTACACAATTTAATATTTATTTAATTGAAGCATTTATTAAAAAAGACCTTAAGTTATATTAAAAATTGTTTTCGATTTGAAAAAATTCGGTCTAAATTAAGGGCATATAGTGGAAAAGGTATAAAAAATATCTTAGCTTAAATATTTGGATAAATAACAAAAATATATATTTTTATTTTATTTTTTATTTTACATATATACTTTTTGAAACAAAAACAAATAAATAAAATTTAAAAAAAAAATGAAATAAATAAAAATAAATAGATAAATGCCTAAAAGAAAAGAAGTAATTCATAAGGAAACATTTATTAACGAAACTCACATAAATTGAAAATATTTTAAAATAAATATATTTTACTTCATTTAATGTGAGTAAATGCCAGTAAATATATTTTTCTTTATTATTAGTTATTTTAATACATTTATTTTATACATATATATATTTTTTAATTTGATTTAAAAATTTTTGGTATTATTATTTATTAATCCATGCTATACCAATTTTGTATATTTAGAGCACAATTGGTAAAGTTAAAGAATGTTAAACACAACACTTCTGTATGCAGTAAATTGATTAAAAATAAAGTGTCCCATATAAAATTAAAATAAATAAATATTATATATGTTTCAGCTCTTCGGGTAGCGAAATTATATACTAAAATTTTCAAAATATGTAATAAAAACAATTATAACAATTTATTCTGTTGCATACTTTTAGCGCTTTTGAAATTTACTTTTTGCTCTGATTATTCGAATTTGCATATATATTTTATATATTTACTATATTTAGATTTTAAATACTAATAATTAATAACTGAATGTTCTTATTTTATAGTAGTTGAGTTAAAACTGTGCACATACCTCGATCGCCTTTTAACTCGTCCGCCCGCGCTGCTCAAGCTGCAGATGCTCTCCCTGTCGGAATATCCGGATGCGCGGTTCGGCGTCAAATTCCGCAAGTTCTCGTTGGTCAACAGAGATGCGAAGCTATTCGGATGACTGTTGCCGACAGTGTGCGGTTGGGATTGCGAATGACCGCGAGTACTTTTCGAGTTGTACAAAGGAGCGCCGTACTTGAGGAAGTTTTCCGTTTTCATTTTACACAAAGCGAGGCGAGGCCAACATAGGGGGCACAACGGAGCTGAGCACAATGGAAACTAGGTCTTGGGGGGTCGAGTCTTAAAACTTTGTTACGATTTGTTCGGCACTTGTACGGGCATGCAGGGATGCAGGTGGGGAAATCACTTGTGGTATGCACTTCCTTCCGCTTGGCAGTTATGCTTTAATTGTTTCTTTTCTTTGAGCTGGCGTTAGGATGCGGCTACGGCGAGAGGCCCGGAGACGGTCGCGGATGCGGTTACGGCGGGGCACGAACGGATGACAGGACGACAGAACTTTGAAACGTGTTGAAGTTAAACTGAAACGCTCGCGCTCACATGTCAAAGCTTTTATAGACTCGCTATTACAACACAATTCCTCGTCGACTTGGCAGGGCAGGGCAGCCCTTCGGCTAGTTGCCCGGGTTGCGTATATGTGTATAGTTTAGTGTGCTTTTAATGTGTTCGGTGCCATGGCGTGCCCAGCCAGAAATTCCACAGCATTATGTTAACAATTGTGCGAATGCACAAACTGTCTCCAGAGGCGTTCGCCCAAGGAGGACTCCAATCCGCAGGGCAAACAATCTGTGCGGCAGACGCCGCTGCTCGGCAATTTGGCTGTGCGTCTGTTTGATCGATAGCTGAAATGGTCGACGTTTGTCGCCGCCGATGTATTGACGGCACGCTCACACATCTGTGCCAATATTTGGCTCTATCTGCTGTCTCTCTCCAGTCTCCCTCCACCAGCCCTCGAGCCACGTCCCGGTTGTTCAACTCGAGCGAAACGGGGCCAAAACACATTTTTGGAGCCCACCAAAATAAAGAGCAGTGCATATTTTTAGGGTTTGCTGCAAGTGGTTTATAAATACTACCTTCGAGTTGCCATTGACAGTTAGACTTGCCGCTGACTGCTTTATATTGTATAATCAAAATATTGACAAGCTGCCAAGCAATCCGTTGCTAAACGATCACAAATTGGTGCCTTCAACCTGATTCCGGTTGACGTTTCCGGTCATGTGGTACTTGTGCTCTTGCTGAAGATTGAGAACGAAATCGAAGCCAGCTGAAATGGTGGAAGAATTCAAGAGGCACAGCTGAATGAGAATTAATTTTAGCTTAATTTTAATTCGAAAAATATTTGTATATATATTTTGCTAAATTATTAAATGAAATATGTATATTTATGGTTATTGCTTGGCCAAGTTTCTTTAATATTGATTTTCTTTTATTATGGGTGAGCACGGGACGAACGAAATAAAGTAATTATTAAGGAGTCAACCTAAATACCATTTTGCATAGTTCCAAATATTATTAAAGGGAGAGTTCGTTTAAGTTAAAGCAACGATTTTTAATTCATTTTTTGAAATGGAAATATAAATATAAGATTTATGTAAAAAGTAATGAATACAAAAATAACAAAAAATAAAATAAATAAATGAAAAATTTAAAATATAAATTATTAAAGATAAAAAAAAACTTTGAAATATGTATGCAAAATAAATAATTATTAATAATAGTACAATTTTATTTTATTCTTTAAAAAATGCATATAAGCTGCTTTTGAAATATTAAAAAAGTAGAAGATTCAATATTTTTTGTAGATATTTATTATTTTCATATAAAAACTATTTTTTATTATTTATGAAAATATATCAAGATTTACCAGTTAAATTTAATATTTTAAGAGTTCTACTTTTTATTGTCATAGACAGACGAACATTGCATAAAACCAATATATACATTACATTACAAAAAAAATTACTTTACCATATTATTAAAATACTTTATTTTACTATATTATTATAATAAATATAATATATGTATTTAAAAAAAAAGAGCTTTAATACTCTAATATATGAGAATATTGTTTAATATTTAAAAATAAAACTTATTTGTTTATTTATTTATAATTTTCGAGAAGAAAACTATTATTATATTACATTAATTATAATACTAAAATAAACATATGTATTTAATACTTTAAATTTAAATATATGTATATTTCAAAACAAAGCTTTAAAATTTATGATTTTTAAATATTGTTTAGTATTATAAAAAGTTCAACTCATTATTTATTTATAATATATATAAATATTTACAACTACATATCAAATTTTTTCTTTTATTAAAATTTGTTAATTAATTGCTACTTTTATTTGTTGTAAAACAAGAAGATCGTGTGATTGTGATGCAAAGTCGAAGGAATGGTTCGGTTTGCACTAATTTGTGGCGCGGTTTGCACAATAACCACAGGGGCACAGGCACATGTGGAAGCGCCTGGGCTGCCAACAATTGATCTAGAGATCGGAACAGTAACTTATGGGCAAATCACAGACATTTAATAGCTCAAATAACTCAGGCCGAGCGGCTGCTACCAGGAGGGCGACCGGGCCGCGAACGAACAGCGGCTCAGCCTCCGACTTCGACTCCAACTCCGAGTCCAACTCCAACTCAGAGTCGAGTCCAACTGTGCCGAGCCCAGGGAACGCGCGCGCAATCAATCAATGCAATCTGTGTTATCATGAATAATTTCCTAGAGGGCATATTTGGGGCTGTAATTGTGAGTGAGTGTGGAGTGGAGTAGCCCTTTTGCTGTTGCCCGACTGCGCTCGTATGTTGCGTCATTATCAGCTTCTTGCGATTTAATTACCAAGTCCAGAATGCGGGGTCTAGAAAAAATATTAACCCTCTAAGATAAACGCATAATGCCGTACTCCCGTCTGCGCCCGATCTGAATATCTGCAATACAATTCATAAACATAAACAGTGACTAGCATGTGAGGCACTCATGTGTGCTTCAGTGTGTGTATGTGTGTGTGCATATGTGTGTAAGTGTTATCGATCGTGGTCAATGTTGTTGGAAACAACAAACGGCCCGGACTTAAGACCTGGTCAGATCCAGGCCCAGTCCAAGTCCAAGTGGAAGCCCTCGGGGCGCTCTCAGCAATTTTCATTGCTGCCGCTGCTGTTGCTGCTGCTGCGGCGACTGCTGCTGCTGCTGCTGCTGTCGTGGCCATGGCTGTGGCTCTGACTATAGCTTCGGGTTCGCCTGTGTCTGTGGCTCTGTATTCTGTGCTCTGATCGTTGTCGCGATCTGCTGCCTTGGCTGACTCTGGCTTTGACTTGCTCTGATTCGGCGTCCAAGCCAAGCCAAGCCAACAATGTCGACGTCGTCGTTGCTGCAACTATTTACAACACTGCATTCCTGCGCCGCAGTCATTCAAGAAGCCAAAGCCGAAGACAGAACCATAGCCAGAGACAGAGGCAGAGCCGGAGCCGTGGACGCTGCTGAACTTGTTTTATGCCACTTTGGCTTATGTGTGTGCGGTTGAGCGAGTGCTCCTTCAACAAATGCTGCCCAAGCCGCCTGCCTCATAAATGCTGTAATAAGCCCACAACAACAACCACAACAGCAGCAACAACAAAAACAACAACAACAGCAGCAGCATTGAATGTGCGCTCGAAACATGTTTATGAAAAGAAAGAAATTCCATTGCAAACAAAAGAGGCAAAGCGAGCTGAACGGATCGGTGGGAGAGGCGCACACTACGCATGCTCACATGTAATCCAACTCTCACACACTTACACAGATGCACATTTACATATCGACTTGTGCTCTTTAGCCTCTTTCTTCGACTGCTGCTGCTGTTTCATTGTATTTGTTGGCCCTGAGCGCACTGGCATAGGCTGGGCTCTCTCTCTCTCTGCCGCTCTCTTCGCAGTGGCTCTCTTCAAGCTTAGCCTGTGGGGATATTTATTATTGCTATGGTGAAATGTCTTGGCCATCGGAGCGGCCTGCTCGAACGTGTGACCAGTGCAAAAGTGGCACAGAATTTTCACCAGCCAATCTCCAACTGAAGGAGCCGCAGCTCTCGAAAGTAACTGCAACTCGAAAGCTGCGGATTTACTACGAATCTAGGCAGAGTATATTAAATTAATTACATATAAATTAAAACTAGAGAGCTTTACACTTGTCAAATTTTATGCCAAAACAAGTGTAAATAAGTATATGAATATATTTATGTGCATGGATATAAGCAAAGCAGAAAACGTTCCACAAATTACTCTAACAAAAGCTATATATGCGGTAATAGCGTGTAAATGCCAATATAGACAATATTCGGATATGTATAATAATATTACTTTTCATAATTTGTATATACATTTTAAATGTAGCCATAATGTCTACTGCTCAATATCTCATTTCTAAAAACCTTTATCGCATTTAAATGGGAGCTTAGGTTATACCATTTAGTATACCACTCTGGTTAGTGGTTATACTAAATGGGAGCTATACCAGGTTTGTCACGCAAACATCGAGTCGAAGAATTGGTTCCAGATCAGCTGTAAATGAAAATAATATTACACGATATATGACGAATATTATTAACGAAAAAATGGGGTTTTATGTCCAGTAAAATCTGGCCTCATAAATAGTTTTGCTATTGACCAGAACAATACAAACATGGCAAATCATCTACAGGCCTCTTTCATAATTGCCAGTACGTGGAACATCGAACAGAATAACAGAAATATATTTATTTTTTTGCAGTTTTGCTCCTGTCACATTTTCCGAACAACCAAGGGCTCAGCCTAGACCCAGTCAAGAAAAAGGTATATGACACATTAATATCAGCGGGCGAAATAATCGAAGCACTTGGTCTTGCGGGCAACAATGCAACCGAATACTATAAGAAACTTAACGCATCACAATTGAATATCATTAGCATGGCTGAAGCTATTGCGAATAGTCTTGGGCGCTGAATCAGATCGAAATTCGTTCAATTAATCAAAATTGATTTAAGTCTATAAATTCGAAGAAATTAAAGAAAATAGAGTTTGCAATAATTTCTGACTATAAAAATCTTAATTGATATAAACATTTATAAAATGTTCACATTAGACAGAAGCTACCCATGTACCCATGATATCCAGGGCTTCATATCTCTAACCTAACATATACGGTGCCCTTAATCAATACCAGAAAGATAATTCATTTATATAATGAAGTTTTTATATGATATGCTAGTAAATACATATTTAATGAAAACGTGGATGTCGATGTCAATGTCCATCGATGTTTTCAAAATCAAGCATGGATGTTGGATTAATACATCGGTTTGAATATTCGATGCATCGATGTATGTCCGATGATTTAAACCTTTCCCCTTTGATTTTAAAACGCATAGTTCATGTTGTTTTATCGTGTTTACTGCTGCTTTTATAGCGTTATGATAAAAAAGTAAGAGTATACTATAGTATATCCTATACTATTTTGTTATCGAGTCACATAATTGGTTCCAGTTCACCAGCAAATTAAATTAAAAATAATTAATATAACACGATATATGGCGAATTTGATTAACGAATAATTGAATAAAGTCCAGTAAGATCTGACATCAGAATAAGTTTTGCTACCGACCAGATCATTACAAACATGGCGCATCATCTGCAGACCTATTTCATGATTGCAAGTGCGTGGAATCTTTAGAAATACTGAAAATATTCGAATAACAGAAATACACTCGTTTTATTTGCAGCTCTGCTTCTGTTACATTTTCCGAATAGCCCAGGCTCCATCATAAACTCAATCAAAAATAAGATATTTGACGGTGTAATATACGGGGGTGAAAAGATCGAAGCGATTAGTAGTGTGGCAGAGACTG